AGCAAACAGCTGTGACAGCTTTCAAACTGCCCAAGAAGCCACCAAGCGACCACCAGCAGCTTCAGCCACTTCACAACTCCAGCTCATTTATGTGAGCATCACACCTCCTTCAAGCTGAAGTAAAAAAAGTCCATGCACAATTAGCACTGCTTAATGACCTGACTGCATATCACAACAAATACACAACAGGTAGTAGAACAAAAGCTCCAGAGAACTCAGACTTCCCAGTCTATCTTTGAAACCTAGAACATAAAAACTATTTCACTCTGAAGTTTCCTACGTTCACTTGTGTGATATTCTGGAGAAGCTTTCTTCCAGCTGGAAGGTTTAGCCAAAAAACACCATCCTGTCCCAGAGTGGTTGAGGTCAGAAGGGACTTCTGGAGCTCATCTGGTCCAACCTCCCTGCTCGAGCACGGTACACTGGAGCAGGCTGCCCAGGTCCATGTCCAGTCATCATATGGACATCTCCAAGGAGGAAGACTCCACAGCCTACCTGGGCAACCAGCTCCAGTGCTTAGTTGCCCACACAGTGAACAAGGGGTCCCCACGTTCCCATGGAGCCTCTTGTGCTCCAGTTTGTGCACGTTGTCTCTTGTCCAGCCACTGTGCAACACTGAAAAGAGCCGGGCTCCGTCCTCGCCGCACTCTCCCTTCAGGTATTTATGTACCAAAATGAAAGAAAATCAGAACTCTCAGTAAAAAAAATATATATATAAAGTTTTCCTTATTTGCCTTGGTAAAATATAACTTCTCAAGGAAACAAAACTCATTTAAAAAAAAAAGTACTACGTAATGATGGCGCTTAAACTGCAGAAAAAAAAATAATATTCCAATCACCATTTAAAAGGACATAATAATGGAAATTAAGGGCAAAAATTCTAAGTGTTCATGCAACTTACATCTAATTTATCTTGGAAAGTAAGCCACTGACTTCATAAAGATGTGTTTAGGTCTTTATTTCCTTGCATTAACCACAATAAGAAGACATCTTAATATTTCAGTGATTTTTTTTTTTTTCAAACTAAAAAATGAGAAAATGGTGGTGTGAGATGGTAGATGTAACTTGTAGAGTTTTCCAAAAAGATTAACACAATAGTAAGTGTACCAGGAAGAATAAATGTCAGATGTGTTTATTTTTAAAGTACCAGTTAATTAAAAACCACAGCAATTTTTTACGAGCCACAACAGCAAGCTACTACTCTAGAGAAGTGCTCCAAAGCAGGTCCAGTGAGCAGGTGGAAACCTTCACTTCTCAAAGTTGTCACTGTGCATCTGAAATAATCTGCCAACTCATAAGTGGTTCTTATTGAAATAACTAAATTAATAGCTTGTTAGAAGAATATAGACGAGTTTTACAAATCTGTGAATGAGTCACAATTGAGAATACAACGGAACACTAAATATAAATACCAGAACCAAAAAACACGCAAAACCAGAACCAAGACACGTAGATTCTGCTCCTGGTTTACTCCACGGACCTTAAGTCTTAGTGCTCAGTAAACACTCCCATTACATAAAGCTTTCAAATGCTTTACAAAGCTCTCTTAAGAGCATTACACATTCTTTTTACTTTTATACGCCCTTTAAAAAAAAATAAATATTTTAAAAATACATATTTTGGTTTTAAGTACTGCAAACCCGCTTTTGACACAAAGATGTGCTGAAAAACGATTTTACCAAGTTGTTCTTTGGAAAGAAAAATAAATTTTACGTAAAAATGGTAGAAACTAGATGCCCATTTGAAGATCTTCCACTCTTTCTCCCAACTGCAAAGACCCACGTACAAGTTACAAACTGTCCATGACAATCAGCCCAATTCTATATAGTTTTTCACCATTTCAGACCAGGTGAAACAGGCTGTACAAACACATTCATTCTGTGAATTTAGACAGCCTAAAGCTGCTCTGTGAGAGGGAAGTTCCTCAAACACGCATCAGGACACTTCAAAGTAAACCAAGGCATGAGCCAAAGGCCTTGCCAGGACCACCTTTGGAATTCTGAAGCCAGATATGCAGCCTCCAAAGAGCCAGGAGCTTCCCTGTGCTGGTTTTTCGGTCTCAATCCAGGCAACCACGCTGCTTTGCACGTCAGAAATGCTATATATGCTAGGTGTTGAGTTGGTAGAGATATGGTAGAGATATTATCTCCTGAGACTTGTTTTTTTTTTTTGCTAAGTCTCTCTCTCACCTACGAAGACTATTTGTTTTGGTCCACACTGTTCAGAACGAACAGCGAGAGACGACCTCGGTGATGATCACAGCGTATTTCAAAACGCACTTTGCATCTCTGGAATCACTGAAGCCTCCTGTGATACACCTGGAGCTGTCAAAAAACAGGTTTCAGGCAAAATATTCTTCATCTGTCGACACATGTTTTATCTCAGTCATGTTATACTCACAGCAACACAGCAGGTACCCAAATCCAGAAGCAGACCCCAAAGCCAAACAAAAAGGACAGTGTAAGACAACGGGCTCTTCGGCGTTATCGTTTGACCACTCTCACTTGCAGACCTTCCACTCCTGTATCCTACACCTTCACGATCCGAGCTGCACAAGTGATGATCTGCAGCCCAGCATCACAGAATTTAAAAGTTCTGGAGATCCCCAGTACTAACAAGACTGCTTCCATGAAGGCAATTCACACAACAAAGGCAGCAGTTTCAGTCATGCGGGTACGATGCTGAACAGCAGTCACACTATGTCACTGCTCAGCACAAAGGTACGATTATCCTGACCGAAGTGCTCACCCACCTCATACATAGTCCCGTAAAATCTTTGGTCTGGCTGTGAAAGGCAACACTTCAGAAATCACAATAAAAGTCATCATGAGTTATGCAATTACAAAACAGCTTGCCAGCTTGACTCACACGTAGGCTGATCACCCAAAAAACCCAAAAAACAGAGTAAGCCTTTTACAGCATGAGATTTGTGGCACCTGCACCTAAGGATCACCAGATAGTAGCTCTGATCCTCACAAACTACCCCGGATTCCTGATTCACAAATTGCTATACCTTCAGGTTTAGATCAGGAAGAATTGTCCAAACTTTATGACTTATCGTGTCACCAAGAAAACTGCCATTCTGTATTAACCTATAGCTTCCCATCTCCCCTCAGCCTACATCCTGACCAGGCACTCCCAGAAGTGCAAATACTGATTTTCAACTCTCTCTCCAATTGCAGGCTTGATCTACAACAACTTTAGTTGATTATTTCTTCCAGCTAGTTCTTCATTGGTAGCTGTGCTCAGTACTTCCACATTACTTGGGCAACTCCATTTTATTCTACCCATTAAATCCACCAGTGGCAGACTCAAAGGTATTTGAGCACAGTAATCTGTAGTTAAAACTAAGAAGTGTTGACAACTACATGACCGTACCACTCACCGTTCATCTTCCCCTACAGAAGCTGCTTCGCAAAGCAAGATTCTCTGTATGTTCTCACTGAAAATGTTGGAGGGGACAGTTTTGAAAAGCAGTAGAGCCTTTGGAAATCCACAGTTCAGTGCTATCCTTTGGGAAAGGGCCCTAACCAAGGGGGTCCACTATTCTGCACACAACTTCAGTCAACAGTGCTTCTGCAGAAGTCACTAACAGAACAGATACACCTTCTGGAGAAGGATTTGCTACTTGAGAGAGTCAAACAGCGATACAGCTCCGTGTTGTATCACTTGTGTATCACAAGCAGTCGATTCTTACTTGGCAAGAGTGGATTTCATCTCATCAACATTAAGATTCAAAGTAAAACTCCAAGTTGGGTGATCCACTCACAGCACGGCACATACTCCAGCTCCACCTTCTCCCTATTATGAGGGCTGACTTATTTTTGTCTGGTTTTACGAGCTAACTAAATTCGGATTACAAATTAAAAGAAGATTTAGCTGATGTAACTACTAAGTGCTGCGGTCCTGGACGTTCTTTAATTACAGAGCCTGTGCTTGTCCACCTCTGGCCTGAAGCATTCCT